GTAATGAGACCACTTTGGTTTACTCATGAATCTGCTAACCATTCCAACTGCATAGCAAATGTCAGGTCTGGTATTGTACAAATACCTGAGAGAACCAACCAACTGCTTGAAGGTCGTAGCATCCACAGAATCACCATCAGAATAAGAATCCAATTTATGATTGGTTTCTGATGGTGTCACAGCAACTTGCAATTCTGCAGCTTAAATCTCTTCAGAAGTTCAAGTTCATACTTCAGCTGATGTAGAATGATACCCTTCTTTGAATACAAAATCTCCATTCCTAAAAAATATACCATATTTCCCAGACCTGTCATCTCAAATTCATTCATCAGAACTTCTTTGAACTTGATTATATCTTCTGGACAACTTCCTGTTAGCAATATGTCATCAACATATAGACACACCAGAATCATATTGCCACCAGAATACTGCACATACACGTCATATTCCATCTCACATTTGAAATTTCTGCCTCTTGAAAAATAAACCAATTTTAAGATTCCAAGCTTTGGGCCCTTGTTTCAGTCCATACAAGGCTTTATGTAATTTGTATACCATCCCTTCCTGATTCTTTTTCACAAATCCATGAGGTTGTGACACATATACCTCTTCTTGTAACTGACCATTAAGAAATGCAGACTTTACATCCAGATGTATCAAAGGCCAATTTATGTTTGCAGCTAAAGCAATCACCAGTCTGATTATTTCATATTTAGCTACAAACACCTCAAAGTAATCTAGCCCAGGTTTCTGAAGAAAACCTCTAGCCACTAGTCTCGCTTTGTATTTGCCAATTGATCCATTTGGCTTAAGCTTCACGTTGAAAATCCATCTGACACTGATGGTTTTCTTCTTTTCTATAAGCTTTGTTAACTTCCAAGTTTTGTTTCTTTCAATAGCCTCAAGTTCCTCCTTCATGGCATTCAACAATACTTTCTTCTTGAGAGCTTCTTCAATACCTACTGGTTCAAAATCTACTCACATGGCACACTGAACGACTTCTCCTTCAGAATCTACTTCAGTATCATGCAACATGCTAAAATCTACAAACCTACTTGGTATTTGTCTGATTTTCTGTGGCCTCTGAACTTGTTCTGAAGCTTCTCTAGAACTCGGAGCAATGCTAGCTTCTGGACCTTGTCCAAAATTACCACCTTCAGAGTTACTTCTAGAAGTTTGTCCTCCTGACCCTATGTCTTCAGAGTTTTCCTTCCAGAAATATAATCACCATTAGATTCTGGATCATCATCAGAATCTGGATCAGAATCAGATCCACTATCAGAATCTCTCTGAGATTCTGACTCATCTTCAGATTCTTCAGATTCATCTTCTGACTCTGATTCGTCTTCAGAACTTTCTGAAGAATCTTCAGAAACTAACTCTGGTGTTGGCGCTACACCAGAATCTGATTGAAGCTTGTTCCAATCTCATGTTTCTGACTCTTTCACAATAACGTCTCTGCTGATTTCAACTTTGTTGGTTTCTGAACAATAAAGCTTATATGCACCTGTATTGTGGTACCCCACCAATAACATTACTTTGCTTCTATCATCCAGTTTCCGTCTTCTAGCTTCTGGAACGTGTTTGTAGCATACAGAACCAAACATCCTCAGATGACTAACACTTTGCTTATCTCCAGTCCACTTTTCTAAAGGAACAATTTCCTTCATCTTCTTTGTTGGATACCTATTCAGAACATATGCTGATGTGGCAACAACTTCTCCCCATAACATGTGAGGTAGCTTCTTCTCTTTCAGCATACTTCTGGTCATATCAAGCAAAGTTTTGTTTCTTCTTTCAGCAAGACCATTATGCTGAGGAGTATATGGAGCAGTAATCCCATGTTCTATTCCATTCTCCTCACAGAACTTCTGGAACTCTGTAGAGTTATACTCACCTCCACCATCCGTTCTCAGAATCTTCAACTTCTGACCACTCTGCTTCACAACCATCACCTTGAACTTCTGGAACTCAGTAAACACTTCATGTTTGAACTTGATGAGTGTTACCCATGTCATTCTTGTCAACTCATCCACAAAAGACACAAAATATTTATTTCCTCCAAGTGAAGATACTGGAAATGGTCCACACACATCAGAATGTACTACTCCCAAAGCATGCTTCGCTCTGGGGGCTACTTCTGATGCAAATGGAAATCTGGGTTGCTTGCCTTTCATGCATATCCCACATGACTTCTCAGGCTTCACAATCTTAGAAATGCCATGTACAAGCTTCTTAGAACTTAGATACCATAAGCTTTTATAGTTTAAGTTCCACAACCTCTCGTGCCACAACTTACTGTCACCTTCAGCGCCTTCTGCACTAAGGCACTCTGCTTCAGCTGTTTCTACATTCACCTTGAATGTTCTGTTGCTTCCCTGCTCAAACTTCATAATCAACTTCTGATTAGAATCATATAACGTCAAGAGGTTGTCCTTCATAACAACTTAGAACCCTTTCTCAACGAGCTAACCCACACTCATCATATTGCTTTTAATTCCAGAAACATACCAAACATCTTTGATCAGAATGTTTTTTCCATTTTTCACTCTAACTCTGACATTTCCCATACCTTCTGCATTAAGATACTTATCATCAGCACATCTAATCTTTGTTATCCTTCTGGAGTCAAAGTTTATCAGCCATTGTTTGTTCCCAGTCAAGTGGTTTGAACAACCAATATCCATATACCACCAATCTTCTGAACACTTTCCATCAGAATCAGAAGCAATCAGTAGCACAGGTTCATTATCAGAATCTCCTCTGGCTATATTTGCTTCTTCTGATTTCCTTTATCTGTTTCTACAATCTCTGGCAAAATGGTCAAACTGTTTACAACAGTAACATTGAACCTTCTTCTTGTCATACATTTCCTTTCCCTTCTGATATTTCTTTTCATCGGAAGTTGAGGTTTCTGACTTCTGGAATTTATCACCATGTCTATTCTTCTTCTGGTCCTTCTTGACAAAAGAAGCCTTCAGAGCTTGCTCCACTTCCCTTTCAGAAGTTCTTTCAGTCAGACGTAACTCTTGCGCTTCTAGACTGCTTTGCAACTCTTCTATTCTCATGGTTTCCAGATTTTTAGAATGTTCAATAGAAACAACAATATAATCAAACTGAGTAGTAAGTGACCTCAGAATCTTCTCTATGATTACTTGTTCAGAAAGTGTTTCTCCACAAGCTTTCATCTCATTAGTGATCAGAATCATTATGGAGATGTACTCAGAAACTTTCTCATTGTTCTTCATATTGAGATTCTCATATTGCTTTCGCATGGACTGAAGCTTCACTTTCTTCACTGACGCGTCACCACCGTAACATCTGACCAGTATGTCCCATGCCTCTTTCGACGTCGTCGAATCAACAATCTTCTCAATCACACTTTCATCCACACACTAATGGATATAGAATAGAGCTTTCCGATCCCTCTTCCTCGTAGCTCTTTCTGCAGATATTTATTCTTCAGTAGCATCTGCTGCAACTGGAACAAAATCATTAGTAACAAGATTCAGAACATCCTGAGCACCAAATAGCACACGTATCTGTATCATCCACCTGTTCAAGCTTTTGCCATAAAAAACTGGAAGTTTAGTGTTCAAGCTACTGCCTCCACTCATCTTAAACCTTGCACAAATCTCAGATCTCAGATTCTCACTTAGTGTTTCCCAAACCACAGAATCAGTGTGATTCTGTTCAGATTTTATTGAAGATTCAACAAAAATCAAACACACAGCTCACTTTTCACTCGCGTTTTCCAGAATTTCAGAAGAACCAAGTGCTCTAGATACCAATTTTATTGGTGCAAGGTGATGAAATTGAGGAAGAAGAGGAAAAATGATGAATGATATAAAGCTGCCACAAATGATTGAAAGAGGATTGTATTAATTAATAAAACCTAATACACCTATTTATACACAAAAATAGTAAATATAAGAATGTCAAATAGACCCTATTAAAGAGAATACTCCAAATATAGCAAATACTAAATTACCCCTTTAATAATATTTACAATCTAATTGTCGAAATTAAGTCAAATGTTCTTGTTGATATGATCCTTGATAGAACCATGAATGACTAAATATGTTTTGTCTGAAGAAATTTTATTAACCAGTAATTGAAATGTCAGAGTATATCACACAGTGCAAAGGAGAAAATTTGTCTTAAGTGGAAATGCACACAGGAGAGAACAATGTCAAATCTCACCATTAAATAACCTATATAGCAATTGTTTATAATATTCTTTTATGGTATGGATTTCACTCAATACACTTTACAATGGAGACAATCTACACCACAATGCAAATTGGTTGGCTGACAAAAAATTTTAACCCAAATTCCATGAAGATCTACATCTTTAACTTGAACATTATATGATACTGTTGGAATAATATAGCAAGTGTGAGTAAGTGGGGAAATAGTCCTACATTGAATAAGAATGTGTTGACTTAAGCATATATAAGTGGGAGAATCCACCCACCTATCACCTTAAGGTTTTAGGTGGATAAGTGGTGTGTCTCTCACAGAGGTGCATAGCCATACACTATGTATCAATGCTCATAGTATCTTTCCCCAACAAACACTTTAGCATTTAAGACAATAACGATCAACAATTTATTTTTTTAATATCAAACACAAAATTGAGGTGTTAGTGAAACCCGAGTGAAATTTAAACATAACAATATTGTATGATAACTCGACAAATCTTAAAATTATTAGATATATATTCAAAATTACTATAGATGTTATAAATTTTACTCCCCTCTAATCTCATTTATAATTTTTTTTTATAAATATATCAAATAAATAATGTATCTAAACAATATATTATGTAAATATATTATTTATTAAATTTGTTTTATAAATAACATCGAAAATAATAATAAAAATGATTTACCTTGATATCTACCTATCACTATCAATTTAAAAAAGAAAAACTAAAAATTAGAAAATTGTGAATCCACTTTTGTGCTAGTGGTGAGCAGTCGAGTTCTGAATTAGAAATGGCATCAATTTGGTGGTCACACAATATCTATTCATGTTCAAATCGCTTGGCTTGCCATAGCCAAACTCCAATCTCTTTCTTGTTTTATTTCCACCATTACCATCCATTTCCATCAAAATATAATTCCATATTCCCCAACCATATCCACACAACATATCCATTGGAACCTACAACAAAGTTAGTTCTTTGCCACACCCCAACCACAACCAAAACCAGCCAATACATTACTCATCTAATATTTTGCCATAGCACTTGTTTGCTTCAACTTCATACTCCCATTATCACAACTCAGCACAACTCTCACTCAAAACCTTGTAGTTTCTCTTTGGGTTATTGTCCGTGTAAGCTCTCTTTTCGCCTAACTACATTTTCAAATATAAATTGCAATCTAAATTTAATATTTTGTTCTATTTCATATTATTTAGTATAATTAGTAATAATGTGTGATTTGGTTTAACTCAACTTTATTAAAATATGAGTGCTATTTGAATTTGATTCTATGTGTAAACAAGATTTAGTTAATAAGTTGATTTTTTGAACTACAAAATTAAATTAGTTAATTTATTATATAGGTCGAAATTAGTTGGTTAAATTAAAAAATTTCTTTTTACAAAAATAACTTATAAATTATTTTATTCAGAAACAAACAAATGTTTGAAAAGAGTATTATAATTAGAAATCGGTGGATTAATATTTTTTATTTTGTCAAAAAACTTGTGAACTTTGAAATAGGCCTCGGCGTGATTGAAAAGGTAATTTAAATATTAATATTTTGTGAGCGTTATTTTAATATTTGCCATTGTTCAAAAAAGTTAAAATAATTGGAGCTAGACATGGGTCAACAACATATTAGTTTATTAACTTCTTGGTGTCTAGTGGTATCAACTTTGAGCTAGATATTTATGTCCTCCCTCTTTTTTAAAATCTCATCTTAGAAAGCAAAGTGTTAAAACAAACCAACAATAAAAATCTCATTTTTCTTAAACGTGTTTACTCCACATGAAATGCTATGTGTGAATCCCACTACCCCAACATTTTAGCAAACATTTATAGTTTATCTTGCTAATACCATATTTAGCAAATGCTAATAGGTTCTTGCTTTTTAGTTGACTTAATTTTATTGGCCACTCTTGCATTTTTTTTCAAAAAATTTAATAAATATATAAGTTAGAAGACAAGAACATTCAGTCATTCAATAGAAATTGTTCTAAGTGGAGAAAAAATTAATTTAGTAATGGCTAGTGCAAGTTAATAGTTTATAATTAGACACGTTAGTTGGCTTTGATTGATTGAAAGATACCACCACTAATTAGTGCTCTACTTGAGGGATGATTATTCTTCTTTCTTCTTTCTTTAAAGCAGCTTTATTACATAAAGTAATCTAATTTTATACTAATTAAGTCAAACTCTTGCAACATAAATAGGAGAAATGGTTTTGTAATAGCGGTTTTCTTGTTCTAATTCATACATGACATGGTTAAGAGATCATGTAATTACTTATGTGTTTTTAATCTTGTTTGTTATCTTTATTTTAGTACTTCTTGTGTAATATTTTGTCCGTTGGAGTTTGGAGGCATATATAAGAAAATACTATTAAAGTCGCCATTCAACAAAAAAAAACTACTAAACTTAGACAAGTTTAAACACGTGTTTACTCTTAGAATAAGTAAGGAAAAAAAAAAGAGAATATGCTTAATTATATGCTTAATTATATTTAGATTCTCTAAAACAACCTAGAATAAGTAAGAAAAAAAAAAGGGAGTCCTTAAAACATTCTACATTCTAAAAATTCGAAAATATTTTTCATAATATTTAAAGAATGATATTCTATATCTATTATTTAACAAATCAATTTAACAGAAAGACACTTTCATTTTTATTAAAAGAAAATTCAAATTTAAATCTTCAAATATAACTTCACTGTTCAGATATTGTCATTGAGAAATATTAAACAATAAAATAAATTTTGCATTACTTTAAATGTATGGATGTCTTCATGATTATAACACTCGTATTAAAAAATCTTATCAAAATCTCTTTCATTTCTCATTTATGATTTTTACTTGTAAACAATATTCTATTATATTTTAACATCAAAAGTCATAAAAAAATGGAATTACGTGTAATGTACATGTATTGCATTGATCTTTTATGAGAAAATCTCACTTAATATTCTATGAAATATGAATTTTGCGATCAAAATTTTAAATTTGGATACTTTTACGAATGTTTCGAAAATTGAAATTCAGATTATTTTAATGGTGAATTTAAATCATCTTCTTTTTTATTGGTTGTAGTTATGGTGTGGCTTGATGTTGTCACCAAATCTATTACATTTAAGGATGTTGAACATGGTGATGTCCAATTTGATGTTGGAAATTTATTTTTCAATAAACATGAGTTTGTTATACGTGAACATATGTTTCAATGGGCCCGCCAAAGCTTGTCAAATTAGGGATTGACATTATTATCAATGAGAAAATTTTCAAAACATGAGCACTGTGGTTGAGCTTTGAAGAACTTAGGGTTTCAGTCGTAAAACCCAAGTTTTTAATGAGAAAAATTTTAGTGAGGGTGGGGTTTGCAGCAGCGCATAAGAATCTCCGAGGGTTGTTCCTAATTTTTGTTCTCCTTTTCTTAGGTTTAGTCTTAGGGTTTAAATAGGTTTTAGAATAGATTCAATTTAGGAAATATTTTTAGATGATTAACCGTTATAGGTTAGAGATTGATTCTGATTGACTTGTAATTGCCAATTAGAAAGATTGATTTGATTTTAGTTTAGGGCAAATCTTATGAATATGAACAATGTATGTTTCTGGACTGTATTGTATCTGTAATTCGTTTCTTATTTAATAAAGAACAAATTTTTGTCTAGTGTTTGATTTGCTTTAGATTTGATTCAAAAATTATCTGAGTTTTGGATTTTGGGCTTGGGTGTCTTGATGGAGAAGATGAAGCATTGGGCGCAACTTTGCCATCTATGGTTTCAAAAACCTTTTGTTGACTTGGTCAACCACATTTGAATAATAATACAAAATAAAAAGTAATAATAATAATGCAATGTAAAAATAATAATAAATAATAAATTACATAATCACATAGAGTTGACTCCGGGTCAACCCCTTTTTAATACTTATATTTTCTCAAAAATAATAATAATGGTAAATAATATAACAATAATATCAACAACAAAAATAATAATAATTAAATTTATATAAAAGTATCAGGCGTTGACTTCAGTCAACCCCCTATAAAAAAATAATGGGCCTTCCAAAAAAATAACTTAATGGGCCAATGAATTTATTTGAATAACAAGCCCTTCTAATAAAAATGGTAAACATATCACTCCTAAAACTTATACCCCCTTTATCTAAACAAATTTTAAAATAGACAATTAATACAACACAATATAACTATAAGTTAGTATTTTAAGCAAAAATAAAATATAATAACACTAAAATTAATAGAAAAATAAATTGACCAGTAATATCAGTAGGAAAATTTTGAGGTATGACACATTGGTATATTCGAAACAAAAGAACTTTTGGATTACTTTACGACTAAACAACCTTCACAGAGTTTGTCGGGCATCTCAAGACTTGGAATACTAATAACCTTATCTTGAGTAATCATCCGATTGAGTAATCGAAAGTTCAAATATCCAAACCTCAAATTCCATAACCAACTATCCCTGTGGTCGACACTCGTTTTTAGACATTGAACTTCAGTCGAACTGATCATAATCTTAAATGTCCAGTTCTTCGATAGAGGAGATTTCAAGACCAAATTGTTCTGGGTGTAGAACAATTTTAAAGGAGACGATGAAGATGGATCCAAACAACACTTACACGCATATCAAACAAGAGCAACCAAAATTCTCTATTATTTTCATCTCTCGAATTATAATATTTGATGCAATTTTGTGTAAAAAGTCACAATTGTGATATAGCTTATTAAAAGCATTTGTAAACACAATATATTTGTTTAAACAGTGTAATTCCTTGAGAAACCAAGGTGTGGTTTGATCTCAAGAAGACATTGACGGTTGTCTTCGTGGTTTGTAATCAATTTTAATCAGTGGATTAAGACCTCGATTGAGAGAGGCAAAATCACTTTGGCGGGTGTGTGATACGGTGGCGGAACCGACTGTTTTTGAAAATGCTGGTTTGCATTTTGCGTTTTGTATTTGCAAAATGTCGCGGTAAGCAAGAGTCGTCGCCGACTTTTATTTTATCCAACCGGAAAGGAAAAAAGCACAAAAAAAATCATTTTTCGAGATTTTGAGTACGGGGGGGTAGATTATAGAAAGGGAAGGTATTAGCACCCTTTCTATCCATGGTTTTCCATGGGCTCTTAGGTATTTGCTCATCTTTTAAAATTGTTTGTGTGTGTTTGTTTTGAAAAGTTTTATTTTACCTCGTTTTAACCCTTGTTTCTGTCCTCAAGAGTGTTACGAAGTTTGTTTTGAAAATTTTAATTTGAAAAGTTTGTTTGAAAGTGTAAGTGTGAAAAGTTTGATTTTTAGCAAGTACCTACTAGCATCTACCTACTCGAAAAAAGATCGTTTTTGTTCTTGTTTCCTTTAGACACCGCTATCCTACCATTGAGAAATAGGAAGCACCGTCGTTGGAGTTGTAAGGGTCAATTCGTAAGGGACGTACGATCACTAAAGCAATGTTAGGACGTCTTAGTAATAACCCTAAAGTCTTAAGATCATATTCGAGGCAACCTTTCCGAGGCAACATTTCTGAATGGGACTTTTGATCTTTGTTTAAACAGGAGGGCAACCACTAAGACACCCTATACTTAATGATCGTTCACCGAAGGCAACCGAAGTGAGAGTATACCCTAAGAGTGCGCATGTGCGAGTGATTTGATTTCAGTTATTATCTTTGCATATTAGGGTTTTCTAGCCGTTTTAAAATTATCATGCAATCTTGTCATACAATCCTATTAACATACATCTAAACAGTTAATATTTGCGAGAATTAAAATGCGAGAAAATAAAACCTACGATATTACAAGGCTTGGGGGTAGGGATTAATTACATAGCCAAAAACCCGTAAAAGACGATAAATAAATAAAATCCTAGATTAAACTATTACATACCGTGAGCAGTTACATTAATATTGCAAAATAATAAACGCGCGCGATGAATCAAGAACGAGAGATTTAGGGTTTTGACCCCAACTACCTAATTATAATTTAAAAGAAAAATCATTTTTGTGTGGTTTTTTATGCTATTTTGAGAAAATAAAGTTTAATTGAATAAATAAAAAACCTAATTACTAATTAATTTAAATTAAGAAAAAAATAATTAAATAAACCTATTTTGTATTTTTTTTTATTCTTTGAGAAAGAAATAAAAATTAAATCACAAGCTAACGGCGAACCTTCTGCTTTAAACTGTTTCATGACCTCAGCTTTGATTTTCTCAGACATCTCAGGGCACATACGGCGAACCTTCTGCTTTATCGGAGGACAGTCTTCTTTGGTTGGCGGGTGGTGTACCATAATATCAGTGTCTAAACCAGGAATATCTTCATAAGACCACGCGAAGATCTCCACATAGTCGCATAACATCTGTATCAACCGTTACTTGACACTAGGCTCCAGATTCGCACCTATCTTAACCTCTTTCCTGTCTTCCTCTGTACCCAAATTCACTGACTTAACTGGCTCTTCATGAGGCTGTATGGCCCTTTCTTCTTATAGTAACAGTCTAGCAAGTTCTCCAGGCACCTCATAATCATCCTCACCTTCGTCCTCGACTTGGTTGATCGGATTTTCGAAGTCATAACTGGCAGTAGCAGAGTCGTTATCAATGGGATCCATAGTGGATATGGATCTGCATTATGATATGTGAGTGTGTGTAAGAGAATAACTGTTTTTTTGATAAAGCGAGAGACAGAAAAAAGAAAAACAAGGAGCAAAAAATTTGTAATGCAAGAAACGTCCAATGTTTTATTAATGATATATGAAATGACAAATAATGAGCCCTCACAAGCGAAGCCAAGGTACCTCGGGAAAGGCACCGAGCCGTAAAGTTTTAAATTGTCTATTACAACTCTTAAAATAAAAGTCAATTACCGTGGAATAAAAGAAACAGGTATGAAGTCCTTCGTCGTCCAGTTGTTCAATCCACCATTGGTTATAGGGTAGATCCAGCTGTCAACATCCGGGTTCTCATCATCAGCATTCTATGTGGCGGAGACAACCTCAATATCATTGATTCTCGAGTCATGCTTGGGCATGGGTGCAGTTATGACACTGGGCTTCTTCGGAGCGTCAAACTCAATCTCTTTGGCTTCGATCAAGTCTTTCACCTTGTTCTTCAAGGCCCAACAGTTGTTTGTATCATGACCTGGACTTTCAGAGTGATAGGCGCAACGGGCATTCGGGTTATAGTGGGGAGATGTGGTGTTGGGGTTCTTCGGGGCCTCCCTCAGAGTTACCAGATTGGTCTTCAATAATTATGGTAGAATTTGAGTCAGGGTCATATTGAGCCGAGTGTACTGCCTCTGTGGTCTTTCCATCCTTTGTTGATTATCGCGTTGTGGAGCAACTGTGGGTCTTGATACCACTACCGCATTTATTGCTTGACGGTGTTCAGGTCTGCTTTGGCCCCTCGGGCTGTAGACTGCACTAGATTCTTTCTTACCGGTGAAAGGCTACTTTACTGCACTTTATAAAGTGTCCTTCTGTATCTTACCACTTCGGATACCAGCTTCTACTCTCTCTCTAGTCAAGATCAACTCAGTAAACCCATATGACGAACTGCCGATCAGATGATTGAAAAATGGACCAGATAGCGTCCCTAGAAACATGTCAACCAACTCCCTGTCAGACAAAGGGGGTTGGACTCTTCCATCCAAATCTCTTCACTTTTGAGCATAGTCCTTAAAACCTTCACTTGTACCCATAGACATACCCTGAAGCTGAGTACGAATAGGAGCAAGGTTGGCGTTATACTGATACTGCCTGTAGAAAGCAGCAGCAAGGTCTTCCTAGTTTCGGACATTAGCTCCTTCCAATTGATAAAACCATTCAAGTTGAGTCCCTGACAGACTATCTTGAAAGAAGTGCACCCACAAATTTCTATCAGCAGTGTGAGGTTGGATTTTCCTGACATACGAATGGAGATGGAGTTTTGGACAGGATACTCCATCGTACTTGGAAAAAACCGGAGCTTTGAACTTATGAGGGATCACCACTCCCGATACCAATCCCAACTCTCCGAAATCTAAACCAGGGATCTTCTGAATCTCCATAGCACTCAGACGGTCTTCAAGTTGCTTGTACCTATCCTCGGCGGGAGGATATTGCTCATCATCAAAATCAGTATCATTATCAGAGATTGCAGGACTGGGGCCCTTTTCTTCTTCTTGGTTCTCCCCAACTACCTAATTATAATTTAAAAGAAAAATCATTTTTTATGATTTTTTGTGCTATTTT